CTAATATGCTTAATTGGTAGTAGGCTTTCGAGCCTATACAGCTTGGAGTAAGACAACATGCATAAAGAGGATGATGTGGTCAAAATACTCATTTGCCTAATAATTCTGCACTCCCTGTAATGTGCTGTTTCCTTGTTATGCCTTGTTTGCTGCATAAGATTTTTTTGTTGCCGACCCTACAATGTCTGAAATAATATCCTTGTTCTGCTCAGCACATCAAAAATACAGAATTAACAATGTACAGAGACAATCCAAGAAATACATATATATAAATATTTACCAGTGTGTTAATTATAAAGAGACAATATACAAGATAGATATACCTTCACAATTGTGACAAACAAACCAAATAATCAGGACAATATGGCATTCTTAAAACAGCGCAGTCAGATTCCCTTAAGGTAAGAAGAAAAAATAACCAGAAAATTAAAAATAAATCATAAACAATTAAGCAAATCAATATATAAATCATAAGGTTCAAGAGTGCATAGTTTGTGTACCCATTTATTTTCTTCCTTTCCAATACATTTAATATGATTGCTCCCACACCATGGTCTCTTCATTATTTGTATAGCTAAAAATATAGGGTGATTAGGATGTTTATTGTGATATTTTATAAAATGGTCTAAAACACTATATTGGTCAACCCGTTTTAAATTATTATTTACATGTTCATTAATTATTTTATATAAAGGGACGAATAGTTCGGCCAACATATTGTAAACCGCATGAGCAGATAATAAGGTTAATAACATTTTGACTAAAAACATCTAATACAATTCTTTAATATAGAATCCTTTATATATGTACTTTGAAATTTATTAATACCTTTAAATGTTTTATTCTTTCTATGACAATGGTTGCAAGAGTTAGAAACGTTTTTATTTCTTAAAATACTTTAAGGTTATCAAGTTTTTAAAAAAATTATCTTCAGTCTAAGTGGATTTCAAATTTGGTGCTCCTCTAACGATGATAAAAGGTCTATTTGTCAATATATTAGTTAAATCTCTATCTTTATTTAAAAAATTCTAATGCTTATTTACAATTTACTTCAACACTAAAATTCACATTAAAATCAAACAAAACATGGATTACCTACTCTGCCCCCCTTCCTTTACCCTCCCCTCTCCCCCCTTAGTCTATCCCTTTATCTTCTTCTCTTCTCTAATATCCCCACTTCTCCTCTGTTATCTCCTCCTATAACTTAAGAGATACACATCTCAAAAACTTGGGTCCCTAGCCCCGCCTATCATGACCCCCTCAAAACCGGTGATCTGAGTCGCGGGAACCTGTCCTCAACACACCCACACACTTACCCGACAAAAACCTCCCACAACGACTCCTGCTCACGATCAACAAATGTGTCAGGATTATATTGATCCAGCACGCAGAATAGTATCACACCCTAGAAGTAAGGGTAACGTCTTACCTGGCCCTATAATGGCCGGACTCAATGTACCCGAGAATAGTCCGAAAACTAGCCTAGGTCAGGGACATAGAGCTAGACACAGTGATAAGGAAAAGCGAAAAGTTAATGGTTCCAGAAATCAGGGAAGTCAAAACGAAGCCAAATTTAAAAAACAGAAAAACACGATCAGGAACACATTCTCGGATAACCATCTAAGGAAAACCACGACAGGGCAATTAGCTAAAGAATAAGTGAGCTTAAATAACCCTTTTGCAGATCCGATTGGCTGTACCTAGACCTTGAACCCCAAAACGTGCACGTTAATGTCGTCTTTACCCTGGATTGAAGTGGGGCTAAATAATTGCGTAGGTCACAGCAGCCTGTGTGCACCGACATGCCGCACAAGCCAGGCATCATGGCCGAAGACCACCGAGCGGCTCTCTCCTCGATCTTTGCAAGGTAATTGTCTCTAATTTTGCCACATGGATTCGAAGGAATACATGACAAAATGCTGAGCAGTAGAGGGAAACACCAAAACCATTTTTAAAAACAAAAAAGAGGAAAGAAGAAAAAAAAAGGAAAAAACAGTACCCAGCAAGCTTTGACCACACACAAAAATATGCTATACCTACACTACATGTGCCACCACCCTCTTAAACCTGCAGATAAACTTATAATACATGTCCTGGACATGCTCCTTATCTCTAAATTACACCATTGTACACAACTGTCTTCTATACACCGCCACACAATCCAGGCGAATATACGCAATGATTTACATCATGTAAATGTTATCCTTGTCTTGTATGGAAACTAACTGTACAGTAAAGACCAAATAGATATTAATTTTTATACATTTTTGTTAATTTCTGTTATCAAGTTTGTTCACAATTTTCTGTTATGTTTTCTTGTAGCAATCTTTAAATGCCAATGTACCTGAAAATTGCCATAAAGGCACAATATGCATTTGTCTTTATAAATTTCTTTTTTTGTGTTCCATGAAGGGCCGGTGGGCAGATCAAAGATCTCCCTCACCGGCCCACATGCACTAAAACGCGGCCGCCGGCGGGGAGAGAGGGAGGGAGGTCATTTAAACAGACCTGCGGCTCGGGAGGGAGGGAGAGGACCCAGCGGAGCTCTAACTTGCAGCTCCACCGGGTTTCTCTCGCGAGATCCGGACCGTTGCTATGGCAACCGGCCGGGTCTCGCGAGAGTGAACTCTAGCCCCAAAGGGCTAGAGTTCACTTACCACGAGGACCACCAGGGATGGCTGGCAGGAGCACGACCCCCCCCTTCCAGACTACAGGTAAGAATGGGGGGGAATATAATGTATTTATTATTATTATGTATTTATTATTATTTTTTTGTAAAACACCTACCTGCCTCCCCCCAATACAAAATCCTTGTACAATACAAACACACACATCACCCTCACCCAGCACCCTAACACACACACAGCACCCTAACACCAGCACCCTAACATTGACACAGCACCCTAACACCAGGACCCTAACTTTGACACAGCACCCTAACATTGACACAGCACCCTAACACACACACACAGCACCCTAACATTGACACAGCACCCTAACACCAGCACCCTAACATTGACACAGCACCCTAACACACACACACAGCACCCTAACACTCACACAGCACCCTAACACTCACACAGCACCCTAACATTGACACGGCACCCTAACATTGACACAGCACCCTAACACTCACACAGCACCCTAACATTGACACAGCACCCTAACACCAGCACCTTAACACTCACACAGCACCCTAACACCAGCACCCTAACATTGACACAGCACCCTAACATACACACAGCACCCTAACATTGACACACACCCTAACACACACACAGCACCGTAGCACTCACACAGCACCCTAACACCAGCATCCCAACACACACACAGCACCCTAACACCAGCACCCCAACACACACACAGCACCCTAACACACACACCGCACCCTAACACCAGCACCCTAACATTGACACAGCACCCTAACACACACACAGCAATCAGAGCACTCACACAGCACCCTAACACACACACAGCACCCTAACACACACACAGCACCCTAACACACACAGCACCCTAGCACACAGCACCTAGCACTCACACAGCACCCTAACACACACACAGCACCCTAACACTCACACAGCACCACAACACACACACAGCACCCCAACACACACACAGCACCCCAACACACACACAGCACCCCAACACACACACAGCACCCTAACACCAGCACCCTAACATTGACACATCGCCCTAACACACACACAGCACCGTAGCACTCACACAGCACCCTAACACACACACAGCACCATAGCACTCACACAGCACCCTAACACCAGCACCCTAACATTGATACATCACCCTAACACACACACAGCACCCTAGCACTCACACAGCACCCTCACACTCACACAGCACCCTCACACTCACACAGCACCCTAACACTCACACAGCACCCTAACACCAGCACCCTAACATTGACACAGCACCCTAACATTGACACAGCACCCTAACACACACACAGCACCCTAACACATACAGCAACTTAGCACACACACACATCACCCCAACACATACACAGCACCCCAACACACACACAGCACCCCAACACACATCACCCTCACACACACATCACCCTCACTCACACAGAACCCTCACACAGCGCCCTCACACACAGCACCCCCACACACACATACTGCACCCCCACACACACACAGCACCCCCCAAACACACTGCACCACTCACACACTCACTAGATCTCCTATACGCACTCCTGAGTCCTTCAAACACACACTAGATCCCCTACACACAGATGCTGCATCACTTACACACACACTACATTTCTGACATACACACTCAGGATCCCCTATGAACACATTAGATACCCTTTAAGCAAACACATAGTGTCTCCATAAATGGGATACAGTGAGTATTCCAATTATGGAAACCCCTGAGACAAGTTTCAAGCAAACACAATGCAAGCATGTTATTAAATTTGCTTGCGCTGTGCAGATCAAATACAGGGCCCTTTTCTCATGCCCTGGAAGAGCATTGAACCAACATGCTCACTTTGAGATGGGGCGTGCTTGTCATTGGGGATGACAAAACACACCCTATCTGGCCCGCCCCCTTTTCAGTGGGCCGCTGTAATTAAAAATGCCCGGGCCGAATTTTTTCCCCAGTCCGGCCCTGCCCTAAAGAATTTTAAAATTAGAGAATTAGAGGACTTCCCAAAAACGTCACAGGCCAGCAACTTGAAGCTTATCTGTTGGACACATTCTCTACATTAAAAGATATATCATCCAATTGAACGATTCCATAATCTGCATTCAGCAGTGAAATGGGTCTTAGAGTTGAACATTTTATTGGGGGTTTTCCTGGTTTAGGGAGAGTGACCACATGAACATGCCTGTCCTGTGGACATGCAGCTATTAAAGAGATTACATAGATGTGGCAA